CAAAAAAACCTCTTCAACCCAGAGGCATAACAAGATGACATTAATTTAAAATTGATTATCCCACTGCATTTGGTTGACATGTCTGGAAACATACTTCCATGCTTTCATTCATTTTATTCCTACTTCCAACCCACCAGCACTATGACTCTTCACACTGTGAATTCACAGTTAGATTACCTTCATATCCCTTCTCTCCCAATAAATACCAGATTGAAAACAGAACTGAATGGGGTGAAATGTTAGTACAGTCGTACAGTCTGGTCAGGAGAGCAGGCTTAAAGATACAGAAAAGAAAACTTTGGACAAGTTTGGTGGAGGGGATGGGATAGAGCTGAACAGCTGAGGAGAAAATGCTAAAGAACAGGCAGACAGCACAAACAGGCACTGGAAGTACAATCATCTGCAGAAAGTTTACAGCTTTGGAAATACAACTCAGAATGGGACAACAGCTCAGTGTGAGAGTACATATTTAGTGTGCAGAATGTCCCTCATTCAGTCATTAGCACGATCACTTAAATTATCTCCAGCCAAGGTGGAGCAAAACCTTAGACCAGTGGTTCTCAAGCTTTCTGAAGTGGGATCAATTTCAAAACTTGCTGCACTTTCAAGACCTACTTGCAAAGTAACTCCACACTTTCTCCCTCCTCAGCATAAAGAAACAGCATTGTCAAATCAGATAACACTGAACAAGTTTTTATTTCATTTTTCATGTTTAGTATTGAGTGTGTGTGTGTGTGTTACTGAGCAACAGGTTGCATTTCATGGCCATTAGTTTGCATAAGCAAACCAAATTTGCCACTGAATCTCCCCTGAGCCTTCCTCCATTCTTAGCTCCCCATGTCTCCTCTGTCTACCTGGCCTCACAATGAGGGGGGGAGAGGGGGGGGAGAGAGAGAGAATATCATGTTCTACTTTTTGGTCCTGACTCTGAGAACCACTACCTTCGCCCAAGGCCTTGGAGAGCTGTGTCAGTATGGAATATAAGGGCTCAAGGGTCAGTTAAGGCACCTTCCTATGTTAAGGAGAAACTTAATGTCTTCTGCAAAGGAAATTAACAGAGTGAAAGGCGACATCTGCTGTTCAGCTGCAGATCTGAGGAATTTTCTAGCTGGGCCAGAAAGGATATGGAAATGAGGGAGTCAATCATTTTATAATATTACAGTCATTGTATAATACCAAATGAGAAGGGAGCACTCCCTGGAGAAGACCCTGATGCTGGGAAAGATTGAAGGTCAAAGAAGACGGGGACGGCAAAGGATGAGATGGTTAGACAGTGTCATCGATGCAACGAACATGAAATTGAGCCAGCTTCAGAGGACGGCGGAAGACAGGAGGGCCTGGCGGGAGATGATCCATGGGGTCGCGAAGAGTCGGACTCGACTGTGCGACTGAACAACAACAAAAAAGGAACATTTAAGAAACAAAAGCTGGTTATCTAGTTGCAATGGATTGCAACAACAGAAGCCTTTGTCTTATAAACTTTCAGCTTGAGATCAAATTTATTTGATATTCGGGAAGCTGCATCCATATTCAAACCAGACTAATACCACTATTTCATCACATACTTTCTAAGAATCTTTAGCAGCTTATTACTGAACCACTGGGGGGGGGGGGACATAAGTACAGGTCAAACACAATTACAAACATGTTCCTTTATAAGATTTATCCAGCTATAACTAAAACCTCTATGCTACAATATTCAGCAGGCTTATCCAATGAGTTCTAATGATCTGCGTTCTATATGGTTCTTACACAAGGAAATTTACATTGTGTCAGCAATCACATGAATGGCAGTAGCCACCTTTGTATAGGCTTCATTAGGAGCAAATGCCTTGGATGTGTATTGAGCACGTTCCATGCAGAGTACGTTCCTGAACATGGAGTTTCATGTTTAGTAGCTATGCTTAGAAGCTATGGAGAATCTTGATAACGGCCTTAGGAATGAATAATTCCTGAGGAATGTTTAAAATTGGGAGCATATCATGACTTCTCTCAATAAGAATAGAACTGTTGATATCTTAAGGCTTGGTCAGACTGAAACAACTGCTCAGAAGAGCATGCCTGAGCGTGCTAGTCTACAATCAACTGAAAGTTTTAGAGCTATCTTGAAGTTCTCAGGCTTCCAACAAGGTTCTAAAGACTTCTACAAATGGCCAAAATTCTGATTTGTATACTTATATCCAGGGCTATTTTTGGGCAGGAACGCACAGGAATGGAGTTCTGGCTGGCTTCAGAATTGGCCACGCCCACTACAGCCAAAACCTCTGTGTGTGTGGCTACAGAGGGAAGGCCTGGACACACACCCCCAGCGACTCTGTGGTGGGCGCTGGAAGAATTGGGGAGGCATTTAAATGCCTCCCCGTGCCTTACCTGGCCTGTCCAATGGCCGGCTTGCCCGGGAAAGCCAAGGGAAGGCATGGGGTGTGGCCTAATATGCTGATGAGTTTCTGCTGCTGGGTGTGGCCTATTATGCTAATGAGTTCCTGCTGGGCTTTTTCTACAAAAAAAGCCCTGCTTATATCCAAACGTATCCACATTTCTACAATCTCAGAACTGATGCACTACATGGATGCTACAAGAACCTGAAAATGCCACCTTGCGCCTCCTTTTGGGTAGATCAAGAATTATGGCCAAGTCCCACAATTGTTTTCTCAAAAATGATTGTTTACAATGGTACCAACTACATGAGACTAAATCTCGTGAGTGGGTTCACTCCATAGGCCACACCAAACAACACACGGATCTGAACAAGGGTTGCCCGGTCTGCCCTGGCCACCAGCAGGGGATGGAGCCTGGGGAGGGCAGGGCCCTCAGTGGGGTACAATGCCAGAGAGTTCACCCTGCAAAGCATCCCTTTTCTCCAGGGGAACTGATCTCTGTAGCATGGAGATGAACTGTCATTACAGGGGGTCTCCAGGTCCTACCTGGAGGCTGGCATCCCTGCTCCAAGCTGCCTCCTGCTCGTGAAATAGTCACACCAGCCTGTAAAATCTGTGTTCAGTTCAGCAAAAGTGACCATTTCTTATTTGAGTAAGAGGGGGGAAACCCAATATGTAAAAGTAGTATCATAAAACCTCCATCTGAACAGGCATACGGTCTTCCTCCGAACAAGCCATATATTTTTCACTGATTTTTTAACAAAGATTGTGTGCAAAATGCAAGGCAACTTTTGTCTCAAGCATTCATGCAGTAATAAAAACAGGAAAACATGACTTCGAGTCACAGCCAACTCATGGCAGCCCCATCTATGGAGTGTTCCAGGCAAGGGAAGAGCAGAGGTGATTTGCCATTGCCTTTCTCCATGTAACAACCCCAGTACTCCTTGGTGGTTTCCCATCCAAGTATTAACCATGGCTGACCCTACTTAGCTTCCAAGTTCTGACAAGCTCAGGATAAGCTGCACTATTTGGGCTGCTCAGGTAGGTTAGGTGAGTGAAAAGAGCTGCTGTTTGGGGGGAAAAGAAACTCCAAGAAACCTAAAAATCCTTCCAAAATTTCAGTGTGAAACAGAAGAGGGTATTTTCATGTGCAGACCTGACTGGAACTGAGCATTCCTTAATTTGTGGGGTGGGGGTAACAAAAGTCAAATAATTTTGGAAGTAAAATTTACTTCAATTCCAGAATGCCCCTTAGGAAAAGATACAATATAGACTTGACTGGAACTTTCAAACTTCTACTTTCCTATTCTTGAATGGATAACAGAATAAAGACTACACAGAGCTGAGCACAATTAAGCGAACTGGGATCATGGGTTTAAGCAGCTTTAAACATGTTCAAGCCCATGCGTAATTACAGCCATAGCATAATATATTAGCTCTTGCCAACACATTATGCTAGACAGCTGTCACTGGGGCAGGGCCACCAACAAAGAGGGACCGGGGGGGGGATTCCTGATTCCCAAGAAGTGTTCCCTCTAAGCGGAGTTAGTGTGAGCTAGCTCACAGTTTTTTAACCTCCAGCTCTCAGATTTTTGTCTTTGCTCTGGAGCTATCCTTCCTAGGCTAACTAATTTATGCAGTAGCCAAATCGCTCGCTCACAACTTTAATGCCAATAGCTCACAAAGTAGAATTTTTGCTCACAAGACTCCACAGCTTAGAGGGAGCATTGGTCCCAAGTCAGATGGCGGGCCTCATGTGGCATCCAGCCAAACCTCTTTCCATTTCTTTTCAATGTAGTTCTGACAGCAGTCACTAGGGGTGCCAGGAAGTCTGAGCACAGTAAAAGGCACTCTAATATTGGCTAGACTTCCTTTTCTCCAAGACTGAAGGAAACTTGCCTAACAGATTAAGCCAAATCCATCTACTAATCCAGCAATGGAGCAAGACAGGCAACCCCAGCTGATGGCTGCTGCACTAACTGTTGGCCTTCAGCCTGCTAACCAAGGTCATTTTCTATAACAGTCTAGCCTTTCTTTCTTTCTTTTCTTGCACTCCGCTCAGCCAGATCTCGCAAAGTAGTAGTTAGGGTGTTGCAGCAAGATAAAACAACCTTTTCCTCTCTTTTCCTTAATTTCTCTCCCTCTTTTCAAATCTTTTCTCATTCATTTCTCTCTCTCTCTCTCTCTCTACCTTATTTTTCAGTAACCCCCTCCCCCCCCCGCTTATTTTCACTTCTTGGTCTCAGGATCTTCTCACCCTATTCTGCTTGGTGACATAATGTACTTGAGAGTAGTATAGCAGCCAGCCATTGTTAACATTACGAATGGAAGGGGGGGAGGAGTTACTATTTCCCCATGATCTAACAAAGTAGTAAAAGGATGAGACCCACCTCCTCCACCCTTTACATACATGGTCATGGAACATTAATCTGTTTTAGTGATACAAAAGTAAAAAAGTGCTGGGTAAACTGCTTACAAGTTACCCTTTGACTTCAATTATTTAACTTATGTTTCCTACTGAAGACAGTGGAAACTAAGCCGGAATTTCATGAGAATTAATTCTCATGCCCGTCTCAGTGTTTTGGAGTTAAAGGTCACAGTACTGCCTTAAGACAGGGGCCATACATAATTTCTACACGCACTCACATATATATACATGTATGAAGAAAGCTATGTGACATCCGTTCACTATTGACAGTTTCCCAACGTGAGAAATGATATTTGGTAATTTAAGACAAACGCACTCTCTGACGCTTAAAATGTACCAGATATATTCAATTTATATGAAGCCACTGTCTCGCATGTTAAAGAAATTGTTTATATTTGCTGTGTCACTTAAATTAATACTCTGTTCTTGTTCCAAGCCCCACTCCCCTTCATCCTCTTCTTCAGGTTCTGCTTCAGACCCATTACGAGAATTCTCATACAAAAAGATCTGCTCGTCTACGTGAGCTGGGGCCAGCCTGTTCCTCTTAGCACTAACAACATTGGCAGAAGAGCCAAAAAGACGCTCAGGGAAGACTCTTGAGGCCACAATGCACCAGTACTTCTGAAGTACCTTCGGTAAAACAGGAAATAAAGCTAGTCTGTCAGACCACCACTTTAGTGGATCCTCGTTTAGCCCAAGGACTTTTTGGGACTTGAAATTGCTCAGTTCTTCAATTATTTGTGCATGCCACTCCTCTTGGTCTTCAACACCCCCCGTCTGGCAGAAGATCTCTGCAAGCATATTATTAATAGCACTGGTAGGGGGAGGTGGGGAAGCAACTGCCACTTTTTTCAATGGTGGCTCTTCAGAAACTGCAAAAAACTGTTCTTCGGGCCTGAATGTGTTCTCTTTCACTTTTTCTAGCAGGCTTTTGGCTTCCTCTACCACCCTGTTTTCAACCTGCTGCCTTTCAAATGCAGAAAGAAAGGGTAGTTTCTTGTATCTTGGGTCCAAGAAAGTTGCAACATTAAGAAACATATCTATCTCAGGTGTATGCTGGTATGTTGTAGCTAATTCTTTGGCAATCACTTCCTTGGCCATGCTAATTTCTTTCAAGTCATTTTCCTTGATATTTAATGTTGTATTCAGCAGCATATGCAGGAGGGGTTTCACCATACTTATGGTTGGGTATTTGGAAGCAGACAGCATCTCAGCAACCTGCTTGAACGGCTGGAGTAGCTCCACCAAGACTTCAATTGTATTCCATTCACTGGCCTCCAACATGAGATGGTGATTGTTGCTGTCCTCCACAAGGACAGCAGCAATAGTGAACTGCTGCTCTTTAAGACGCTGCAACATAGCAAGCGTGCTTCCCCACCAGGAAACACGATCACTCACAAGCATGCAGTGCACGCTGTTTTGCTGCTTCTGTTTCTCACTCAACATGTACATGGCTACTGCAGACTGCTGAAAATATTCTACCAGTTTACGGCACCTGGACAGGAGACTGGACAGCTTAGGAAGCTGAAAAGCTTGCTGGATCCCCGCATTGAAAGTCTTCCCCAAGCAAGGCATCTGCACTGGAATGTCCAAAAGAGAACAAGCTTTCACTATGTCTTTCCCATAATCTGTCGTGGCACCAAAAACTTTTGTATTTATTCCCCATTCAATGAATATTTCGTAAAGGACTCGTGTTATAGTCTCTGCAGTGTTTTCTTCCGGCACCTCAAATGTTTTTAAACACCTGGAATTAACAGCAAGGCAGTTGGATGAGCCATTGCTGAGAAAATGAACTGACAGTGTTACATAGGATCTATTCTGGTTTTCACTTCTCCACATGTCAGTGGATATACCACACCACAGGATATCAGTGAGTTCTTTTAGCACAATGTCCCTAACAGCACTGTATTTTTCAGGAATTGCTTTTGTGCAGAAATACTTTCTGCAAGGAAGTTCATATCGGGGGTCAGCAGTCCTCAGGAGAGTCCTGAAGGTGGGTTCATCTACAATAGAAGGAGGATACAAACCCTCACATACTAGACTGATCACAGCAGATGTCAGTTCCTGATGCTTTTTGTTCTCATAGTTGTGACTCGTCTTCATAATTAAAGTCTCCTGAACAACCTGCTGAGATGATTCTGGCTTGAGTTTTGAAAATGCAGTTGCAAAGGCCTCCCGCATTTGCTCAGTATTACTTTTCACAAATTCACAGAATTCATCAGGATGATTCTTTTCAAGATGATAAGAGAGGTTGGACGTGTTTCCTGAATAGGCAATCTGTGCCATGCAAATACGACAGTAAATTTTCTTCCACTGTAATATACATCCCTCTGCATTGGTATCAAAGCCAAAGTACTTCCAGACTTTACTCTTTGCTCTTGGATGGGCCACTAACTTTAGGTCTGATGGTGAAGTTTCCAAACTTTTATTCTCCATTGCTTCTTGGCCACTGTCCCAATCTTTTGACTCTTCACTCATTAATGAGTACCTGATAAAGGCAGCAGATAAACATAAAATGAGAAAGCACAAGTCTGTCACCTATGTGAAGTCAGTGCTTCTGTGAATAAACACAACCTACCTTATTATTATTAACATATCAATGTGTTTTTGAGAGTAGCCCCATGACACCTTTGTAAAGTGGGACAATGAGAGCATTGTACATGTATGTATGTATAAAGCCACCATCCAATTCTCTCCCTCAGAGGCAAGATTTTCTCTCCATTTTTCTTTCCCTTTTGTGACTGAGCCGCCCTAGTTGTTTATTTTCTTCTTTCCTGAAGAATTCTGGCTGTCCCACCCTGGCTGCCCCAAAATAATATTTTGGCTGTTTGCTCAGCCCAGGAACCTGAGGGAAGGAATGGGAACCCTCTTTAACTTACACAATTTAAATGGCATTTGAGAAGTTTTTATATTCTAAATTAACAAAATATTTTATTCAACATAGAGGGGAAAGGTCAGGTGAAATCAGGGGTAAAATGTCTGTGATAATTCAATATTGATAACTCTAAGGTAAAATCAGTACATGAACTGACTTTAGTTCTTATATTTCAAGCTAATGAGAGTTACTTAAGCTATTCACAGTTACTTAAAATCTTTATGTAGTGTTGTTCCAGTGTTTTCCCAAACACTCCAGGACACTTTGAGTATTCTCTGACTCTTTTGGTTTCCAGAAGGCTGGTACACTCTTCCCAGTACTCAAACCTCTTCTCTTGAAACACCAGTACTTGTCTTGAGTTTTTAATGGACTCTTAAGGTCACTAAAGGCAGTTTCTAACCACACCAGACCAGAGATCTCTGCACTCTTGAGAACAAACTACCTGTTTGACTGGGTAGGGAATTTTCTTCACTCTCTAGAAAAGGTGTGTCAAACATACAGCCCGTGGTCTGGATCTAGCCCACGAGCAACTGCTTCCTTCTCCCGGCCATTGCTGCTGCATCACCAAGCCTCTCTTCCTCCTTTAGGAAAGCAAGGGGGAAGGAAAAAGAGTGCACATGTGTGCACCAGAGAAAAGCTCCCTCTGCTCTCTCCTGCTTCCTCCTCTGGGGCTGCTGCTGTGTTGCCAAGCCTCTCTTCTTCCTTTAGGGAGGAAGCAAGGGGGGAGGGAAAAGATAATGCGCACGCACAAGGGAAAAGCTCCCTCCACTCTCTCCTGCTTCCTCCTCCAGGGCTGCTGCTGCATTCCCAAGCCTCTCTTCCCTCATTTGGAGAGGGAGTATCATGGCACCTTCAGGACCAGCAAAGTTTTATTCCAGATAGAAGCTTTCCTGTGCATGCACACTTCTTCAGAGAGAGGGAGTGAGGGAGATTCTTCTGATAACCCCTGCTCTGCTGTTTACTTTGAGACCTGATCACACACACACTCATGTTAAAAAAGGAAGGGGGGCAGGAAAGAGATGCATCTGGGATAAGGGGAATTAAAGGGAAATAATTTTGACTTATTCTGAAAAAGGTTTTGGGGGTGTTTTAAGGATTAGATTTATCTTTGCCTATCTGGGATTTTCTTTCAAAAAGACCCTGATTAGGAATTACAACACTTGGATGGGTTTCCATAGTTTAATGACTGGAAGTTAAGTATTTAAAAATACATTTACAGTTCCATATATTCCAGTTCAACACATGGCCTCCTTCTGTCCATCCCCCCCATCTCACTGGCTGCCATCCTTTACATTAACCCCTGCCCCTTGCTTTTTAAACTTTTTATTATCATCAGCAGTAGTGGGTAGATTTTGTCCAGACTGTAAGCAACACATTGTTTCACTTGGAGAGATCCCACTTTCCAGTTCTAACAGATGAAAAAAGTAATAATAAAAGAAACCTAACAGCACAGCTTGCAATCTTTATTAGTGGAAGGGAGAGAGAGTCCAGTAGCACCTTAATAACTAACAAGATTTGTAGCACGGTATGAGCTTTCATGGGTCACTGCTCATTTCTTCAGATTCAGCTAGAGTATGAGTTCATCTGTCCTTATACCTTGGGAAATGCAGTGATTTCAGATGCCAAATAACAATAGCAGCCATTGGTAAAGTGAGAAGACACCCAGGTCTCAATTCAGCCCAGGAGGATGCATTGAGCTTCATTATCAGTTGCAATTCAGCAGTCTCTCTTTCTAATCTCCCTTTGAAATTCCTTTGTAAGAGAACTACTACTCTTAGGTCAGCAACTAAATGTTCGGGAAGGTTAAAATGGTTTTTGAATGTTGTGGTTTCTTATAGCTGCAGAAAGAGTAAGAATCCAGTAGCATCTTGAAGACTAACAAAATCTGTGGCAGGGTATGAGCTTTCATGAGTCACTGCTCACTTCTTCAGACTTACAACCATTTATTCTTTGCATCCTCCTGGACCAAACTGAGATCTAGTTTTCCTGTCTCATTACAAATTATGATATCTCCACGCCTATTACCCCTCTGCATATCACACCTAATTCAATCAAGCATATTGCCATTCAGCATCTGAAATAATCTTTATAAAGTTTATATCTCCAGTACTTCTGTGTTACATTTTATGGCACACATGGTCCAGCCTGGCAAAGTGACATTTATGTCAGATCCGGCCCACATAACAAATGAGTTTGATAGTTCTGCTCTAGAAGATCTACCCCCATTCCTTGGCCTGAATGGAAGTCTTCGCCTACTTCCCAAAGTTCCTTAGCAACTTTCCTCCAGTTCTCCATCTGTGTTAAACTGCTCTCAGCTAAGGCTGAAATCAGACTCAATTCTCCTCAGCATCCAGTTCAGAAGTCTTGAAACAGCCTGTCACTCAAGGCTTTCTGGTTCTGTGAAAAATTAACTCTTTACAGTCCTTTATCTGTTTACACAGCACTTCTATGCTTTTAAAAGTGCAGTCTGTCACAGCATGAATTCAAGTTGTAGACAAAGACTTGACTGAAAGTAATATTATACAGCACTGCAAAGAAAACTAGGAACAAACCATCAGTTTCAGTTCATGCTGATCCCTTTCACTCAAGGAAGTTATTCCACTGAGGAAACAGCTCAATGTTAATGAGTCCATGAATTCTGATAGTTCTTGGGAGCCAGCCAAGTTGCACTACCACTTCAGTCCCACCCCTCCCCCAGCCTTGGAAAATGAACAAGCCTAGATGATGCTCAGAGCACTACCGGAGAGAACAAAGTAGAATGTGAGGTCAGAAACACTATCCCATCCTATCGCCAGCACCGAGTTCAAGGATACCCATATTGCTCAGAGCTTCAGAGGTGATCAGTGCACCTCCAAAAAAAAACCCCAACAACAACAGAAACAACACAGACCATCTCTTTCTCCATTCCACAGGTCCAAGCTGAAGAGATGGGCCCATCATCTCCCCAGGAAGGAAAAACAATGTTCAGCGTGAAGGCACATTTGTAGCCTACTGAAAATGTTCAGCCTGTAATCTGTAAATAGTTTCAGAGGGTAGCCATGTTGGTCTGCAATATAACAGCTAGATTCAGGCCCAGTAGCACCTTCGGGACCTACAAGGTTTTCAGGGAATGAGCTTTCGAGATTCGAAGCTCTGACAAAGGGTATCTGAAGAAGGGAGCTTTGTCTCTCAAAAGCTTATACCCTGAAAATCTTCTTGGTCTCTAAGGTGCTACTGGACTCAAATCTAACTGGTTTCTAGATGAATACTTTCATTTATTGACTTACTTATTATTTCAATTTATATCCCGCCCTTCCCGTAAACGGGCTCAGGGCGGCTCACGACAATAAATACAACAATCTAAATTAATATAGTAAATAGTACAATAAAACCAAGTACTTAAAATATTTAAAGTGGGCAGTGCAATGCAATTAAATTCAGTTACTATAGCCAGGAAAAATACGTGGGCCGATGCTGAGCCATGATGGTCTCATGTAGCAGCAGTAGGAAGGCCATCTGGTAGATGCCCGCTGCCTCAGCCAAAGGCCTGGCAGAACAGCTCTGTTTTACAGGCCCTGTGATGCTGCAACAGGTCTTGCAAGGCCCTGCTCTCAATCGGGAACATGTTCCACCAGGCCGGGTCCAGGACCGAAAAGGACCTGGCTCTGGTTGAGGCTAGATGGGCATCTTTTGGGCTGGGGACAACCAGCAGATGGCTCTCTGGAGAGCGCAAGGCTCTCTGGGGCACACCTGGGGAGAGGTGGTCCCGTAGTTATGTCGGTCCCAGGCCATCTTTTTGAGGCCAACAATGAACATGCTGTGCAGACTATAGCACCAATCTGGGGGACCACAATGGGAATAGCCAGCCTGGCCTGCTGTATCCTGTGTACAGGGTTTGGGTGTTTTTTTTTCAAATGGCCTCGGCTTCAAACGTGCTAAAGCTAAAGCAGAACCTTTAAAAGAATCCTCTTCCTGTACATTCTCTCCCATGCATCAATCTCCAGTGCATCCAGATAAAAGGGAAAGGAAGGCAGCTGCTAGTCAGATCAAACAATATTTGTATTTATTTATTGTCAAATTTATACCCCGCCTTCCCCGCAGAGCAGGCTCAGGGCGGCTATTGACCTTGATATGGTGTGACTCAGTACAAGGCAGAATCATATGTTCATACGTGTGCACATGTGTGGTTCTGCTGGACTGCAGTTCATGCCATTCCATGAACCAATAATATTCAGTTACTGAATGGGGTTTCTTTATCAGAACCTATAAAAATGCATGACTTTTTTGGCCTATTTCTTTATTACAACATGCTTTGGCACTTAGAAAAGCGCAACGAAAGTCACAGTTCTCACTAATATTAAGCACTGTCTCATGTGAAACAAGTTTAATTGGGGTTTAGACAAGGGAAACATAAAATCAGACCAGAAACAATTTTTAAAAAGAGGGGGAAAATAGTATTCTCACCAGGAAACCAAATCATCCCTCTAACATTTATTACTGAGGATGGTCAGACTTTCCACACTGTTAGCCCCTCAAACACAAGAGACTTTCTCAAAAAAGACACTTCACAAATCACTGACAACTGTCTGAGGAAAAG